AGGTCCTCTGTTGTGCTTGTTCACTCGCCCTTTCAATTCTGCATCGCCCACTCCCTGCCCTCTCTCTCAAGGCTTCCACCACCGCCTGTCCAGTCAAGCTCCCTAACGCTCCTCTCCCCTTCACCCTCGATGGTGCTCCGGGGGCCTCCGAGTCAGTTCCGAGCGTAACAGCCTCATCCTTGGGACCATCCACCTTCCGCCTTCTCCAGTCTCCCTTCCCACGTGAACAGCCCTCATATGCCAGGAAAACTGGTTTATTTCCTGTTCCCCGAACTCACCCAGGGCTGCCCTCATTCTGACGCTAACGCAAGCCACTCCTGCCTCCCTCAATACCTTCTTCCAGCCCCAGCCCCGATTTTTGTCCATTAAACACTGCTCTCTCTAGAGAGACTGTCCTGGCCTTTCGTGTTTATTCTCTCTTTGTATCCTCAGAGCGTCTGGCTGTAACTCTCCACAGACCCACTTGTCTTCTCCTGTCTCGTGTTGCCTGTGTGGCTTACAGCTGTCTGGCCTCTCAGCCAGGTGGTCCTCCTCAAGGCTTTACCCACACGGTATTTTTAGAAACAGAATTTGTTGTGGTTCCCCTTTCAGGAAGCAACACTCACATCCTGCTTGCCTGTTCAGTCATAAGATTAACCCTCACTGCAAGCCCAGGGCTGGGTTTTCCTGGGCCCCCTTGCTGTGAAGACTTTTGAAATTGGTAGTGATTTTTTTTTCTGACGTCTTTAGCTATGCACAGTTATGGGAGAAAGTGTGCTTGGAGGCCTCTCTGCCAATCTGCCAAGGGAGTCTTCTGGAACATTCCAGCTGGTCTTATCCCTGTGAATCTCACCTCTCCCTCACTCTACAGGAGAGGCCTGGTAGGTGTGGAAAAGGGGGAAAGGGCATAAGGAGCGAGGCTACTGGGTGAGATACAGGCGACACTGTGTTTACAAAACCACAGCAAGTCTGGGCAGGAACTGAAGGAGGATTTGAAATCTGGAGGCTGAAATGCCCAGGGGAAAAGCCAGGACTCCCGAGGCAGTGGCTGCTGGGAGAGACAAGCAAGGAGTCTCTGCTTATTCCTGTGACAAGCCCCCCAACCTCTGTGTGTGTGTGTGTGTGTGTTTTGGGGGGAGGTTGGGTGGGAGGGGAATTACAGGAACAACACTTCCCCCCACGGAGACTCACTAATGTGAACATTTTATCATCCAAAGGCAGAGAGAGACAGCAGTGTGGGCTGGGCTGGAATCTTAGTCTATTGCTGCCTGCCGTAGGCCCAAAAATGACCCTGAGGCTTTCAGCCCTGCATCCCGTATCAGGGCTGGAGGGAGAGGTGGGCCACAGGGCGCAGGGGCTGAAGAAAGTGTCCTTCCTGTCCCCTTCACAACTTGATCAGCTTGTGTGAGCTCCAGCTTCAGCCACCCGCAGGCCTGTCCTGGTCCAGTTCTCTCATTTCACAGACTGAGGCCCAGAGAGGCTGAGAGGCTTGTCCAAGGTCACACAGCAATTACACAAATCCAGGTCCCTTGGAGGCCAGCCTTTGGCTCTTCCTACTCAACAACTCTAGTTCTCCGTTTGAAGCAAGGTCGCAAATACCCGGAGACTTTTACAAAGACCAAAGAAAATGGATTCTCTGGGAGTCTGGAACACAGAGAGGCAAAGAGAAAGCAAGTGACTCCTGTGAATGTTCACAGCAAGAGCTGGCAAGAGCTATCCGCCCAGTGCAAGCGCAGAGAAGTTAATCCAGGGCTCAGAAACAATGCCACCGTTCATTTATTTGAAGCTCAGCGGAGTTAGAAGCAGCGTGTTCCAAAAAAATAAGTTTTGTTTTTATTCATTTTGTTGTTTTTGACCTTACTGTTAACTCAAGGCCTTGTCATTGTTATTTTTGCAAAGTTATCATCATGGTTAAAAATTCAGTTCCCGGCCCTCCCTGGTGGCATAACACGCAGCACTGCAAGCTGGCTGCAGCCACTTCAGGGCGAGTTTGATCCCCACCCCGAGGTGACCCACATGGCGCTGCAGACCTCTCCTAACCCTCCCGCGGCTCCCCTCAGCAGTGTACTTCGTCACTCGGCCTGTTCTGCTCCCCACTCTGTCCCTGGTGAAGCCTCTCGCCGCCCCTGCACCTCTGGCCTGTACCCCAGTTCTGTATGCATACATAAATCAATCTTTAAAATTCAGTTCCCAACACGGTAAAAA